GTATGGTCCATACCAAAGTTCATACCGACCAAGGCTAAGGTCCGGTTACATTCTAAGTCCAAATCATCCATGGTGTGATGACTAATATGTTGGTTCAAAACGTGCTTATGACCTAGAGGTACTAGACTATCAAGGTGCATAGTTTAAAGGTCTTAAGGAACCAATGTAGTATAAACTGTACCTATACATCACCACACACAAGTCATGTTGTTAAGGCAACATTGGGTTATGATATAACCACTCATTGGCGAGTTGTTGACATGTGTGGGTAAGGTCCATGACCATAATGTACTTCAGTACGTGGCTTAATATAAGAAGGTCATGGGACACCATCAAAGGAAGTATGGTATGTGATGTTTTAGTGTGGGACTTGAATGAAGGCACGACCATTAAGCTTTGTATTAATGGATAAAGAAAACTATAAGAGTCCAAAAGAGTGACCAAAAGTAGGCATGGTTAAGTCCTAATGGATATGGTATTGCTAAAGGCAAGAAAGGTCGATAAGTCATGTTTAAAGGTCCATGAGCATTTGCTGCAGATCCATGGTTTGATGTGATCATAATATTCATTGCAGCAACTNTATCCACACATCCAGCTCCTTGTATTTATCCATATGTTGTAGTTATCCTAATCATTATAGGATTAGGATAATCATCCCCTTTATTGTTGTAATCCTTATCTCCTAAGGAATATACTTATTCTCTTGTATGTATATATATGTATGTGCACGTGATGAATAAGATATACAGAGTTACAACCTTCTTCTTTATTCTTTAACAGTTTTTAAATTTATCTCATTCTTTCTATTTGCAGGAACATATCGAAGAATATGCCAAGTATAAAATGGCCCAGGGCATTTTGAATTTTGTTTAGAGAAAATTATTTTTTAGGCCCAAAAAAAACATTGTCCATTTAAACTAATTTCATTTATTAATTAGGTTAATTATTTTTAAAATGGTAATAATGCTTTTAAAATTTTAATTATAAATTCGTAATTGCATTTATTTAATAATTAAAACATCTTTAGATATGTAATATAAAATTAAAATATATTATTATAATTCAAATAATTAATAACATAAAACAAAAAATTGTTTCTATATTTTTGAAAATATTCATACTTATCCGTAAAACTGCATTCTACTATATATATATAATATAATTAACAAATTTGAAATCGAAATCTACGGATATGTAGAATACAGTTAAAATTTTTGAAACTGACTTCTACATGTTTATTAAACATGCAAGAGCATGCCCATTACTGCAATGAGTATTGTTGAGATTAAACAGATGAACATATTAAAAAGCAAAGAGAAAGAATGAGATAAAATTCTCATCTGAATTTTTTTAACAATCTCATAAAATACTCTTTTCATACATGTCTTCATGTGAATGGCTTAGTTTTATTTTACCTTAAAATTTAATAACACAATTAAACTAAATTAAAAATATCAATATTTAGATGGATAAGATATTCAAATGAGTATCTCACCAATAGAAATGCTCTAATAACAACATAATCTTACTCAACTGGATAAAATCAGAAAGCTCTCTTCAAAGCCTCACCATTACAAATCATTTTTCTTATCCATATACTACATGATATTGATTTTTCTGTTTTTTTTTTTAGAAAATAATTTATAATAGATTTGATTAATCAATGCACATAAAATACAATCACTTCAATCCGGCCTTGAACCTACATGATTTACCAAGGCCATCTCTCAACTTCCTTAGATGATCTGTTAATCGGAATCAAGATCTATTGGCAGCAGCTGATCTAACTCGTTGAGCATCTGCAACATGCTTGGGTCCAGCTCCACGTTTAATAAGCTGCCGTCGTCTAAGAAAACCTCGCCTGTTGCCATCTCCAGCTGAGGGTCTTCTCCTATCAATTGTTCGATCTCTTCCTGAAATCCATTTGCATGAATCATCAGTTGCTCGCTTACTTGTTCATCCAACTCTTCACTGAGCCGCGCCTTCTTAGCATTTGAAGGTGCATCTGATGATTCCTCGTTAGCCAAGATTCTGAGATATGAGGATCATCATATAAATTAAAAATATCTACAAAAAAACCATATACTTATATAACTTTACCACACAATCTCATATTTTACCTATCTCCCGAAGTATCTTGTCTCGTATTCTCGTTCTCCGAATCTGGAAAGATAATCTTTAAATCATCCTCACGATAAACATAAAAAATCTTGTCCGGATCCATATAGTCAGTAAGCAAAACGTTCATGACATCACCTGCTTCGTTCGGCATCACGCCAACGGGTACCTCGGTTGGCCCACCCAAACCAGAAACGGTACCACTGTTTCCGCTTATGTGACCATTACTCGGCGGCAGACTAACACCATAGCCTACCGAGGTGGTAGGAGGCCTCGTGAACGGAGGCGGAGGCGGAGGCAGTGCCACGTAGTAGCTAACCACCGGCGCTGGTCGATAATATGGTAACATCGACGGTGCGGGGGTCATGAGCGGTGGTGAGCCGAAGGAGAAGAGAGGTGGCGAGGGGTGATACAAAGGCAACCCCATTGGAGGACGGGTCGATGGCATCCGAGGAGACGGTAGAATGGGTACTCGAAATGAGGTCCCGCGACGACGTTGCCTGACGCGTCTTACGCGGCGAGTGTGACGAGGATTCATCTTTAGGGATACTTTGAGTAACTCTCTGCATCATATGTCGGAGTTAGACAGTCATAATCGGAGTTACAAATTAAAAAAAAACGGCATGTAAACAAATAAAAAGTGACGGTAACACACACAAAACCTCTAATAATCACTGTTTTACAATCGGAACTAATTTATTCAGTGGAAAATCGCTTCGTACGTTGTTTCGTGAGAAAGCGAAACAAACGAGATAATGATTTAATAAGATAAACAAATAGAACTGAAACGTTGGAAGTCAGAGAAACTAAAAAGGAACTGAAGTATTAAGCTAGAATACCTCAGCAACTCAACAATGGAAAAATTACTGTCGAAAAAGAACTGGTTTGCTTCAGTCATTTGCTCGAGCTTTTTATAAATGGATATGGGGCGATATCAAAGTGAATATTTACAAATTTAATCCTCTCTAATTTTTGAATTTAACAATTATTCTTTTTATCAACAGGTTAACATCAATTTTATATTTCAAAAAATAAAATCAATCCTACGCTAATGGTGCTAAATGGTATAATTTTAAATTTAGGTATTATAGTGAAAATAAAAATAGTTGATGTAGTTTTTGTGAATGAAAAAGTTTATATATATATATATTAAAATGGTAATATATATATAATTGTATAATATGATATTTTCCTTATATGACACTTATTAGATTAGATTATTTTCCTTATTTATATATATTTTCATTAACTTTTTTTGTCGCGAACTTATACTGCCATTAACTGCATTGACCAGTTGTCACTAAATACATCACTTAGTCACGTTAATTTCATTAACCTTGTAGATAACGTTGCCCGAACGAAGCATTAGATTCTGTAAAGCAAAGTGTAGATCAGTATATATATACCAAGCTGGACGAGTTCACATAAATAATAATACAAATGTTATTTAATCTTTCATTTTAGCTATTATTGAATCATACATTAGGAAATTTTAGACTAAACATACATTAGTAAATTTTAAATTGACGTAAGTTGTAACAATGTGAACTAAATCATTGTTAATTACGTAGTTATTATGCCTAGGGCTAGGTACAAAGCGAATACTCGATATTTTAAATATATTCGATCGATACTTGATTTGTCTTATTCGTGTAATAAAATTTTAGATTTGTATTTGCTTTATTAACGGTTACTTACAATCTCGAGTATTTGATCGCTTATATTACAATGTGAACAAAATCACGGTTAATTTTCTAGTCATAAGGTTTAGGGTTTAGACACAAGGTAAGTACTCGTATTTTAAATGTATTTAATACTTCACTTGTTTTATGCGAGTAATAAAAATTTAAATTTATACTCGACTTATTAAAAGTGCTTTATTATCTCGAATATTTGATTAAAGTGAATTGTTTGCTATTTGCGAGCAATTGTGAATGATTTACAAATATTTATAATAGTATTTAAAACTACTTATTAAATAGTGATTATTAGAAATGAACATAAAAATTTGTTTTGTTTATTCAACAAAATATATTATGAGAATTATTTTAAACAATTATAAAGAAGGAAAATAAAAGAAACATGAAAATTTTGATACAGAAGCATTGTATACTTCAACCATAACAAAATGTTTTCTTTAGATAAGTGACGGTTAGTAGCAAATCAGACAACTAATTTTTTTGATACGTGTTATTGTCTTGTATTTGTAAGTACTTAAATTTTACTATTTAATATTTGATTTGATGATGTTAAAACGTATACTGTATGAAATAAGAAATAAGTATAAGACGAGTAATGGTTAATTGTGATATTACTAAATGAAAGCAAAAGATAAGTACTATTAGCAAATAATAAGTAGTTAACAAAGCCTTTTACAAATAGTAAGTAACTGGGCAAATAACAAATAAAGTATTCAAAATATAATGATACTTGATAGTTGAATCAGTTAATGAAATTTGTTGATTTATTATTTGCTTTGATAAAATGGAGTATTTAAAATTTTAAAGTAATGATGTCCAATCCTAATGATGCCAAGAATCCAGAGTAGCGCCACTATATTTATACTCCAAATTTGGTCATGTTAAAGTACCTAATTTGCTAGCTGTTATTTGACGGTTACAAATTTCTTATTGATGTCTATCTATTTCTCATATCTTTTTATATCTTTTCGGAATGTACCCTTTATATATATCTTTGGACTTTTATGTTGTTTTGTCAGTTACTATCTTTCGATATTTGACCTCTCTTTTGAAATATTGCACGAAACCGAATTTCAGTTTTTTTTTGATTTTTTATGTTGTACGTTCAAATGAGAAACTACTAAACCACATGTTTGTATTTTTGTAATGATTAAAATTTAGTTCTGGAAAATAGAACGGAGTGCACAGTTGACGAAAAAAAGAAAGGAAAATAGAATGGAGGTGGGGTATATCGAACACGGTACCTCTCGCACTCGAAGCGAAAGGACGAGAGAGAGAGAGAGAGTCTTCGAAATGGAAACTCTGCAGCGTTGACTTTCGACCCCTCTTGCCGTTGGAACAGGTTTGTAACTTACGTGTCTCTCTCTTGCTTCACCGTGTTGCTTTCGATGCGATTACAACTTTTTTTGTAAGAATCTCATGAGTATCAAAATGTTAAGGTTTGTAACAGGGATTTTGAGCGTAATGGACCCGGAAGCGTTAAGGTTTGATTGATTGGTTCCTTCTTTGTGGTTATGTTTTCAAGGTCCTAAGTTAGTCATAACTTGCAAAATTCAACTTGTTATTGAGAGTAGATGGTGGCTGAGGACTCAGATGATCTCTGGTATGCTTATAACCTGATTTCCACTGGCGATAGTGTCATGGCTTTCACTTTTAGGTTACACTCACTGCCTTTCATCATGTTAACTTCTTGACCTCTAAGGGTTGCGCGAAAAGCCTTGTTTTTTTTGCTTTTATTGGAACTAGGAAACCACCCCGCGCGTAAACGCGCGGGAGAAAGGATATTTTTTTAAAAAGTTATATTTACATAATTTATATTTGTTGATCAATCATTTTGAATCATTTAATAAACTAATTATTTTTTTTATAAAGATCAAAACTTAAAAAAATAATCTTATATAATAAAAGAGTGTAAGTATAATTGTGTTTGGAAATGTGTAAATTTAAATGCTATGTGTTTAGCATAGCAATATTAAGTAAACTTTAAAATTAAAGTTGCAGTCATTTTCTTTTATCTTTTTATATATGAGAAGACAAACTTTTAAATTTGTTGAAATGATGGAACAATTTAAACCTTTTAATTAAATAATATAATATGTTTTAATAAACTGTGATTAACATGCAAAGAACGACATTTTTAAATCTATGACGCTCAGTACCTCCATACAAACTGGGTTAGAAAAAAAAAAAAGGACTTTATCAGAAGAAGAATAAGAGATTACAAAAAAATAGGAAATGTGTAAATTTAAATGCTATGTGTTTAGCACAGCAATATTAAGTAAACTTTAAAATTAAAGTTGCAGTCCTTTTATTTTATCTTTTTATACATGAGAAAACAAACTTTTAAAATTTGTTGAACTTCTGGAACAATTTATATCTTTTAAGATTAAACAATATAATATGTTTTAAAACACTGTAATTAACATGGAAAGAACGATACTTTTTAAAACTATGAGACAAGTAACTCCAAGCAAACTGGATTAGAAAAACATAAAAAGAATGGATTTTTTTCAGAAGAAGAATAAGAGATTACAAAAACAAAGAGGTTGTTTTCTTACAACCAGATTAGTTTGGATATGGTAGTTTAGTTTCACTGAAACAAATTAAACCTATTAATTTAGTTTTGCAGACACCACATTAATTTTTTAAAGATCATTTAGATCTATATAATGAACAAACATTATATTCAAGAATACTAAGAATCATACCTATATTAGAAGAAAAAAACACGTAAATTTTCTTAAAGATTGCATCTGTAAAACGTCTATTTATAGTAATCTGAAAAGGTACATTGATAGATTATCAAGAGGTGTGTTTTGTTTTAAAATGAATATTTTCAAGAGTTGCGAGGAAAAAAATTCAACTAAATACATTTTCAGGACCATTAGATAGATACATAACAATTACAACCACCAGATTGAAACTCTTCAAAAAAAATTTTAAAAAATCAAGAATTAGAGAAAAGTATGACTCTTCAAATTAAAGAGATCTATTGTTTGAAAAAAATTAACTGCTCATAGCAAATTTAATTTAAGTATAAAAAATTATTAAAACCAATAGAAGAAAAACAAAACAATTATAACCAAAGAGTGTAATCCTTCAAATATGAAAAAGTAAGATTCTTTCATGTAAAAAGATGTGTTGTTTGAAAAAAAAATGTTAATGGCATAAATATCTTATGTCTAAAAACATTTCTTTGGACAATTGCATGAAAAACAAAACAATGGTTGAAAGTTGTATATTTTCATAATAAAATTTGTATATTTTCATAATAAACTAACATATATTAGTTTAAAAGTTGCATTTTTCATTAAAAATTAATTGTGTCTTTTAAAAAAAACAATTGTTAAAAAGTTGTATCTTTTCATGAGAACCGAAATATATTAGTTTACAAGTTGCATTTTTTAATTATAAATAGAGTTGTGTATTTTCATAAAAAATTCTCTATTATTTTAAAATTTGCATTTTCATTATTAAAAGAGTTTATGTTTCAGATAAAATAGTTTAAAAGTATTTAAAAGAAGTTATAAGAATTGTGTCTTCTCATAATAAAAAATGTTGAAAGGTTGTATATTTTCATAAAAATCTAAAATATATTAGTTTAAAAATTGCATCTTATCATTATAAAAATAATTGTGTATTTAAAAAAAATCTATTATTTCAAAACTTGCATGAAAATTTTATTAGGACCATTAGATGAAAAACAAAACAATTGTTGAAATGTTGTATATTTTCATAAGAACGGAAATATATTAGTTTACAAGTTGCATTTTTTATTATAAATAAATTTGTGTCTTTTTATAAAAAATTATCCATTATTTTAAAAATTGCATCTTTTCATTATAATTTTTTTTTGTGTTTCAAA